ATTTTGTTAAGTAGCCATCTAGACGTGAAAATGAATATTTCTTCAAGTGCCACCTAGAAGTTGATTCCACAGATAATATTTTTTCATAGGTCTCATAGACGTGAGATTCTTCAAGAATGTCCTTTTCAAGCGCCGCCTGATGGAAATTATTTCAAGACTTTTTTTCAAGCGCCACCTGGATGTGGTTCATTTCAGGAATAGTTTTTCCAATGGACACCTAGACTTGCAATTTTTTAAGAAATATTTCTTCAAGGGCCACCTTTTTTAAAAACTATTTTTTTCAATACCACCAAAATTTTTTGAAGATTATTTTTCAAGGACCACCTAGGCATGGATTCTTTGAAAACTATATTTTCAGAGGCGACTTAGATATGGTATTTTTAAAGAATGTTTTTTTTTTAAGGGCCGCCTAGATGAGAATTTTATAAAGCATATTTTTTTAATGGCCACAACGACGTAGATTTTTGAAGACTATTTTTCTATGGCCACCTTGACGTGGATTCTTTGAAAACTATATTTTCAGAGGCGACCTAGATATGGTATTTTTAAAGCATGTCTTTTTTCAAGGGCCGCCTAGATGAGAATTTTATGAAGCATATTTTTTAATGGCCACAACGACGTAGATTTTTGAAGGCTATAATTCTATGGCCACCTAGACGTGGAATTTTTTTCGAGGTATATTTATTTAAGGCCAACCTAGACGTCGATTTCCTAAAAAATATTTCTTTTCAAGGACCACCTAGACGTATGATAAGAATATTTATTCAAGGGCTACCAATTCGTAGATTTTTTAATACTATTTTTGAAAACGTGGATTCCTTAAAAAAATTCAAGGCCCACCTATTTGTGTATTTTTCCCATGGGAATGCTTCTAAAAATTCTCCAGGGGAGAGTTTCCCATTGGAAACCATCTGAATATTATTTTCCATACGGGACATTTTATTCAGCTCGTCTGAGTAGAGATTTCCATACGAAAACTTCTATTCAGTCCCATTTTTACTTCCCTTTACCTATTATCACTAACGATTCCTCAGTTATGCTCCGTCACATTATGGGATTTTATGTTCGATTTAATTGTCCCTCAAGGCAATGATTGAGATATAAAAATAAAAACACCCACACACACAAAATCACAGAGAGATATACAATCTCTTCATACAACCATATGGACATTGTGCAAACAAATCAACAAACAAACAAACAAACAAACAAACGATCTGACAATAGTGGCACACCGTCTGTCTGTCAGTTACACTCTATTCAATTACAATTCCAAATAAAAGTCAATGACATTTATCTCAGATACGGTCGCCAACGTCAATCATCGGAGCCTAGCCAAAGCACCAACAACAGCACCAGCTATGCCGCTGCTGGGGCTAAACGAACCGAAACCTCTATTTGGCTGGCAACACCACCCGCACTTCAAAATCTAAGTAGAGTTTGAGAATCCAAACAAAACAAAACAAAAAAGAAGTGGATTGAAATCTTAGTAAATCAATTCATAAAGAATACATGTGTGTGTGTGTGTAGACGAGAGGGAGGGAGATGGGAGAGCGTGAAGAAAAATCCAACTGATTTTTATGAAAACTAATCTACAGCAATGGTATTGAAACTATACATTGCGAGGCGTTGGAAGAGTAGGTAAAGTAAAGTGAAGGCATGTAATTTGAGATTTGTAACTGGATTTGAAATAAATTTCATTGCTCCACACTCATTCAAAAGCAGTTATGAAGAAATACAAACAATAATTTCATACTTGACTTGGATTACAGAAAAAAAAGAGAAAGAGAGATATATTTTCAAATCGAAATCATGTCTCTTGAATTGTCAAATGAAAGACAAGCAGAAACACCTGTTTCTACAACACATCTCAAATAGAGTCTGCATCCTTATGCCTATGTTCATTTTTGAAATATTTTCATCTATCCTCTTGAGAATTTTGACGGCAGGCAGCAGCTTGAGAATGCTACTTTTTACACAATTTAAATGACAACCAAAAAAAGTATCCAATTTCATTTTGCAAATTTCAAGAGAACCTGAGGCCAAAAAATATTTAAAAATATATATATTTAGTATTCTACACCTTTGAACGTTTAGTATTTTTAGCCAAGAGTAGGGTAACAAAAATTCTAAAGAAAAGTACACAAAAAATGTTTTGCAAAAAAAATCTTAGCCCATAAGAACTTAAGCTGCTAGTATGTCAAGAACAATGTTGTAATCTGATATTTGAGAGGTTAAATTGTTGTGGTAAAGCAATTATTCTCAGTGGTTTTCATTCATTCTGAAGATGTCTCACAAAACTGGAGTGTTGTGTTTTCGCTGGTATAGAATCTCAGTTGTGGTAGACAAAACAAAAGAACAATTTTTTTGGGCCGGAGTTTAAAAAAAAATTCTTCAAGGACTAGATTTGATTTTGAAAAAAAAAATTAAGCGCCATCTAGACCTGGATTTTAAACAATACGTTTATTAAATAATATTTTTAAAAAAAGATGATTTTTTCAAAAATAGCCACTTGGACGTGTTTGTTTGCAGGGTATTTCATCAAGAGGCACTTGGGCTTCAATTGGTTTAAATACTGATTTCTCAGGGGCCACCAAGAAGTGGATTTCATACAGAATTTTATTCAAGAGCCATCTAGACATGGATTTTTTGAATAATATTTTTTAAAGGCACTTCCAGTGTGGATTGCTCAAAGAAAACTTTTTTCAAGGAACACCTAGACGTAGGTTTCTTAAGAGAGCCATATAGACGTGGATTTTCAGGGAATATTTTTCAACAGCCACCTTGGCATGGATGTTCTAATAATATTAACTTCCAGAAGCCACCTAGATGTAAGTTTCTCTAAAAATTATATTTTCAAGATCCATCTAGATGTGGATTTCTTTAAAAATATTTTTCTAAGAGTTACTTAGTCGTGGATTTTTTTATGAAAATTTATTGAAGAGCCACCTACATTTGAGTCTTCAAAGAATATTTTGTTCATATATTTTTTTTTTTTTTTTTTTGCAGAATATTTTTTCAAGTGGCAAATGGACTTTCATTTGTAAAAGAAAAATTTCTCAAAAGGTCACCTAAACATGGGTTTATTGATAAGTATTTTAAAGGCCAGCCAACTGTGGTTTCCTTAAAGAAATTTTTCCAAGGCCATCTGGACGTGGATTTTTTTAAAAAATATTTTTTCAACCTCTACCTTGCCTTGGATTTCTAAAAGAATATTTTTTCAACAGCCACCTATATGTGGATCTATTTACAAATATTTTTTCAGGAGTCACCTAGATGTGGATTTCTTTAAGAATACGCCTACACGTGTGGTTCAAAGAATATTTTTTCAAGAGCCACCTAGATGTGGATTTGGAAGAAATTTTTCCCAAGGACACCTAGACGTGGATTTTTGAAAGAATAATTTCTTAGGGATCAACTGGACGTGGATTTTCAAATAATTGTTTTTAATGGATAATTAAATGTGGAGTTTTTAAATAATAACTTCTCAGGGATCTTCTAGACTTGGATTTCTTAAAGAATTGTTTTTAATGGCCTGCCAAACGTGGTTTTCTTAAAGAAAATTTTTTTCTAGGGCAATCTAGACGTGGACATTTTTCAAATAATATTTTTCCCCGACCTTTTTCATACCACCTACTTGTGGATTTCTAAACGAATATTTTTCCATACGCCACCTTGCTGTAAATTTCTCTAAGAATATTTGTTAGAGGGCCACCTAGACGTGGCTTTATCTAAGAAATTTTTTAAGGAATAAATATTTTTTCAAGGGACCAACTAGACATTGGATATTTATAAAATATTTTTCAAAGGTCACCTAAACTAAAATCATTAAAATAACTTCGAGCGCCACCTAGATTTGAATTTTATTTAAAGAATATTTTTCGTAGAGTTTTTTAACAATAACTTCTCAGGGATCTTCTAGACTTGGATTTCTTAAAGAATTGTTTTTAATGGCCTGTCAAACGTGATTTTCTTAAAGAAATTTTTTTCTAGGGCAATCTAGACGTGGACTTTTTTCAAATTATATTTTTCCCAGGGCTATCTAGACGTAGACTTTTTTCAAACCACCTAGTTGTGGATTTCTAAACGAATATCTTTTCAAACGCCACCTAGATGTAGATTTCTCTAAGAATATTTGTTTGAGGGCCACCTAGACGTGACTTTATATAAGAATTTTTTTTAGGAATATAAATATCCAATATTTATTTATATAATATTTTTCAAAGGTCATCTAAACTAAAATCATTAAAATAATTTAAATAATTTATTTAAAGAATATTTTTCAATGGCCATCTGGAGGTGGATGTTTAAAAGGATATTTTTCAAGGGATATCCCCCTACGATAACCACCTAGACGAAGATTTTTGGAGAATATTTATTCAAGGTCTCCCAAGACGTGGATGTCTACATAGGCGTTCTTTGAAGATTTTTTGCAAAGGCCACCATTACACAATATTTTGATTGGATGCTTCACAAAATATACGAGCCAACTAAAGCTAGAATTTTTAACGAATATTTTTACTAACCATACGTGGATTTTTAACAGTACATTTTGGTCGCCTAGACTTAAGAATATATTTCAAGGAGGTACTAAGTTGTGGAGCGCCACCTAGACGTTTTGTTTTATTTATTTCATCTTTAAAAATTCAAGATGTGTATTATCCAAAGAATATTTTTTAAGGGGTACCTAGAAATGAATTTTTCTAAGAATATTTTTTTGGCAATTTTTCACAGAACATTTTGACCAGCTTTTAATTTTTTAAAGGCTGCCTAGGGATTTCCTATCTGTACACTTCGTTTTTTAAAGAATTCTATATATTATAGCCACCCGGAAGTATGAGGGCCACTTAGACTTGAATTTTGTAAAGAATATTTGTTCATCACAATGTATGCTGTGTGTAATGCAGAGGGTAATCAGACCCCATTCCCAAAGGCCATTATTAAATATATCACTAAAAGATTAATTGTTTCTATATATAATTTGTGTTTGTCAAACTCACCTTCATATCATTAATTATCTGCTGGAATAGACTCCCCAGAGCGGAGCTATCACGTTCCATGCTCATATCCATTGTAAAGCCGGGCTTATCGTGACTTTGCGTTTCGCGAAAGTTGTGTTAAAAATAGTGATTTTCAAATTTTGTATTGTTTTTGTTTTCGTTATTTTACTTTTTTTTTCAGTTAATTGACATTTAAGACAGACTTTTGGGTTTTTTCGAAATAGAATTTTGCCGGAACTGAAAATATGATTGCAGAAAAAATTAAAAAAACAAATTTTGGTTTCTTTGCGGCGAAAACAAAAAGTGAAGATGAATTGGCACTTTTTGTCACCAGAAGGGGCCTTCTTGGCGTTTTTGTTTGTTTTTCTTTTTTCGTTATTTATTTTTCTGGTTTCCTTTAAAGCAATTCGAAAGTATCAATGATTGAAATTTCTCAAGTCGTTTGAATATTGCAAAATGCCAGCAATAAGTTTAACAATTGACGAGACATTTTTAATTGATTTAATTGATTTTTCACTTCGGCAGTCTTGAAGTTGATGAATAAATTTCAGTTCTAAGTCGTTTGGTTATTCGTTTTGAAATGTTTTTTCTTCTTCTTCTTAATTTTTTTTCAATTTATTTGCGTTCTGTTTTTTTTTATTTTCAAGTGGATGTTAGCTCTGAGTGAGTGAATGAATGCCTGGCTGGACTGATGGTTGTTGATGGCAGTCGGGTTCGTTTAGATTGCCTTTCGGACTGTCGTTGCGCAAAAATATCTGCAAAGAGAAAGGAAGACATGGGAGACAATGATTAATAAATAATAATGAATAAAAGTAGTCATAAAAATTGTCATAAATTAAAATTGAAACCAAGGAAAAGAGAGAGAGAAAGACATTTTCAACAGAAAGGCGTCTAAATAAATGAAAATAAATTTAAAGAAAAGTGCTATACATCAATTTTCGAGAGGACGAAAGGAAAAGCATGGAAATCATTTTTGGCGATTTAACCGAAAAGTGAATTGGAATGGCAATTTCTATGAAAGGAGAAAAAATTAAAAATGTTTTCCGAAGCGCCATCTACATGTGGTAATTTAAAAGATTTTTTTTGGTCAGCTATACGTGGGTTTGTAAGGAATCTTTAGGCTATCTTTGTATTTTTTAGCCCACCTACCGCGAGTTTTTAGCCCACCCACCACCAAGAGGCGAGTTTGTTAAATAATATTTGGCCACCTATACGTTGATTCTATGAAGAATGTTTTGGTCATCTATAAACGACAAATACACCTTGATTTATAGAAAATGTTTTGGGCCTCTGAAATTAACTTTTTAAGGAATCTATAGGCCAATGGTTTTTTAATGGATATTTGGGGCACCTATACCTGGATTTTTTTCAAGATTTTTAAAGAATATGTTGGCCACTTATGCGTGAATTTTTTTAAAAATATTTTAGCCATCTATACTTGGATTTTTTTAACAATTTTCTGGCCATCTATACCTTGTGTATGAATTTTTTATAAAATATTTTGAGCACCTATACCTGGGGTTTTCAATGAATATGTTGGCCACCTATACGTCGATTTTATAAAGAATATGTTGGCCACCTATATGTGATTTTTTTTTTTTACCTTGTGAGTTTTAATGAATATTTTGGATTGTCTAGACGTGGATTTTTTTACAGAAACATCTTTGTGTGGATTTTTTAAAAAATAATGTGAGCACCTATACCTGGGGTTTTCAATGAATATGTTGGCCACCTATACGTCGATTTTATAAAGAATATGTTGGCCACCTATATGTGATATTTTTTACCTTGTGAGTTTTAATGAATAGTTTGGACTGTCTAGACCTGGATTTTTTTACAGAAACATATTTTTATGGATTTTATAAAAAATAATTGAGCACCTATACCTGGGGTTTTTAATGAATATGTTGGAATACGAGAATTTTATAGAGAATATTTTCGCAGACTAGACCGGCATTTTTAAAATTTTATTTTGGCCACATACACGTAAATTTTTTTACAGAATATTTATGACATCAAGACTTGAAATTTTAAGGAATATTTAGGTCATCTAGACTTGAAATTTTAATGAATATTTAGGTAATCTAGACTTGACATTTTAAAGAATATTTAGGACACCTAGTCGTGGTTTGTCACTGAATTTTTTGTCCATCTAGACTAAATATTATAAAGAATGCTTCGACCACCTAGCCGTAGATTGTCACAGAATTGTTTGGCCACCTAGACTAGAAATTTTAAAGAATACTTAAGCCACCTGGACATAGATTTCCTGCAAAATATTTTGAACAGTTAGACGAGGGTTTTTACAGAGTAGTTTAGCCACCTAGACCTGGATTTTTACAGAGTTCTTTGGCTCTGGGTGGCTGGATTTTTTACAGAATATTTTAACAACTTAAACCTGAATTTTTTGATAATGCTTTGGCCTCCTATACGGGGACTTCTTATAGAATAGACCTGGACTTTTTTACAGAATATTTTGGACACTTTGTCGTGATATTTTATAGAATATTTAGACCACCTAGACATGGATTTTTTAAGAATGTTCTTTAAAGGTAATCTTGAAAAGCATTTTATTTTTTTTTTTTCACCTAAAGCTTTGTAAAAGAAAATAAACATTTCAATATTGGTTTTAAATACTTCTTCCAAATGAATGTGGATTTTTCTAAAGAATGTGTTATCTATGGCCATCTAGATGTGAAATTCTTAATAAATATATTTTCAATGGCCACCTAGATTTGGGTTTTTTAAGATTTTGGAATATTTTTCAAAAGCGACGTGGATTTCAAAAGAAAAATATTTTTTAAAGATCCCTAGATGTGGATTTTTCAAAAATTATTTTTCCAGGACCACCAAATTAAAAATATTTTTATCAGAGCCACCTTGATGTGGATTTCATGAATAACGCTATTTTTAAGTGATTTTTCCAGCGCCACCTACACGTTGCTTTTTTGTGTGAATAGTTTTTTAAAGACCATGGTATTTTTCAAAAATATTTTTCAAGGACTATCTAGGGGAATATTTTTTGAAAAATATTTTTTCTAGATGTGTTGATTTTCCAAAAAAAATATTTCTCAAGCTCCTCCTAAAGGTGAGAATTTCAAATAAAATTTTTGCTAGACTTTTATTCCTTAAAGAATATTATATTTTTTTCAAGTGAAAAACTAAACATGGATATTTAAAACAATAATTTTCCAGATGTAAATATGGCCCTATATGTGAATCTCAAAAAAAAAATATTTTTTTTCAAGGGTCACTTAAACTTGGACTTTTTAAAAAATACTTTTTCCAATGGAAACCTTGACTTCTATTTATATAAACACAGATGTTTTCAAGAATATTTTTAAGGCCTATCTAGTCATGTGTTTATTAAAGAACATTATTTCAAACGCCATCTAGACTTTAAGATTTTTTCATGGGCCACATAGACGTGGAATTTCAAAAGATTAACTTTTTTCTTAAGGGTAGATGTCTCTTGTGGATTTTTTAAGAACATATTTTTCAATGATGTGGATTTGTTTCAAGGGAAGGCAGGACATTTTTTACTAAATATTTTTAAACTGTCACCTAGACATGGGTATTTTAAAGAATATTTTTTAAAGGTCGACAAAATTGCAAAGAATATTTTTTCAATACTTTTTAAATGGCTACTGAATATATTTTTAAAGGGCCGCCAATAAATTTCCTCTGTTCCTCTTTTAAAAGTTAAACTATTGACAACTAAAAGTACTTTTCCGGGAAAAATCTCGTCTTGCATTTTTTATCCATTTCTTTCTACTTTTCATTTCAATTTGCAATGAAAATCAACCATCCTAATAAAATTAAAAACAAATTAAACTATTAATAAATATTACATCATTTAACAACAATATTATTATCGCCACTTAAAATTGCCAGTTATCCACCATCCCCTCCCTTGTCATTAAGAAACGAACTTTATTTTCCAATTTCTTCTCTTTATTTAATTTATTTTCCCAAAGATATCGAGGCCTGCTCCACTCAGAAAGTTGCAAGCAAAGCAACAACAATAAAGTGCTACAACGCTCTACAATCAACAAGTGTCTCGAGCAGAAATAAGAGATTAAACAGTACCCAAGCCATAGTGCAAGTGTAACGAAAGGCGGCAGCAGCAGCAGCAACAACAACTGAAGAGCCTCATTGCACTGGGGCACATAGCTCGTCAAAGAAAAAAAATTGGATGAAACAGAAATAAAACGATAAGTGCACTACGCTCAACACATTCAGTGTAAACACTGCTGCACATTCATATCAATTTTAGGTCATGCAACTGCACTGATTTCAAATGGGAGGCAGAGGCATGTTATGACGACGATGATGGTGGCGGAAGCGATGAGGAGGCAAACAGACAAGCATACGCTGCAAATGTATATAAAATGCAATGAGCACGAACAGTGTTTCACAGAGAACATTCATGGAAATAGAGCAGAAAGACTTCTCGGACAAGACCACAGTTTCTTCTCGAAGAACAGAAAAATGTCTTTATGGAGAAGAAGAAGGTGTCCTGGGTCTTGTAGTAGAACACATAAAGATCTTCTCGAAGAAGAGTAGTGTGTATTCTCCGAAAGGACAGAAGGTCTTATCCAAGAAAAGTAGAACATCTTCTCGGAGAGCAGCAGAAGAATCTGGACGAAGACCTTCTCGACTCCTATGAGGAGACCATCTCGTCTTCTATGAGGCGATCTTTTTTTTTTTTTTTTTTTTTTGGATCGATCGTTCCCATCGCCACACTTTCCCGCCCCTGCCGACCGAGGGGGCCACCTCCCCATAACGAAGGGAGCGCGTACACCCTATAGTCCGAAATATAGGGGGTTAGTAGGCTAGGGGAAACCGGCTACAGTAATTATCAGCCGGCTAAACAATAAAGTACATTAATATACACAATACAGACATATAGACTACAACAAAACTAAAATCCAATCAATTATTTCTGGCAACTGTTTCTACATTTTAAGAACACAAGATAGATTTTTTTATAACATGCAAGGGTTCAGATAAAGACATTATATTGTATAGTTTGTTATATTCATCACATAAAGACCGCAGAGGATTACATAGTTCGTAATTAGATTTTGCTATTGTCAATTTAAGAGGCAAGTAGTTTCGCGTGCTACGCGAAGGGACATTAAAGTTTATTTCGCTTAAGAGAAATTCAGATTGAATTTGCCCGCGCAAGAGTTTTATTATGAAAATGCATCTTAGCATTTGACGCCTTTTGTGAAGTGACGGAAGATCTATAAGTTTTAAGCGATTTTCATAAGGTGGAAGAGCTTCATTCGAATTCCATCCTAAGCCTCTAAGAGCAAACAGAAGAAATTGAATCTGTACAGATTCTATCTTGTCAGAATATAATTTATAGAAGGGACTCCAAAGTACACAACCATACTCCAAAGTTGGTCGAACAAGACTAATGAATAAACGTTTAGTAACATAAGGATCATCAAATTCTTTAGACCAACGTTTTATAAATCCAAGCAACGACTTGGCTTTATTAACACAAGAATCTATATGTAAATTGAAGCTAAGTTTTCTATCCAGAATTACACCCAGATCTACAAAGGAGTCTACATTATCCAATTTATATGAGCCAATAAAATAGTCACTTTTAACAGGCTGGGATCTATAGAAAGATAGCTTTTTACACTTTTTTAAATTTAATGACATCCCATTTTCACTACACCAATTCACAAGACAATTTAAATCGCATTGAAGATTATTTAATTGGTTATAAGACTCGAGA